GGAAAGGGGAATATAGTGAATAATATTGTGGTAAGTTTACAAGGTGACACATGATTACTAGAATTAGTGATATGGTCACATTGTAAGGCATAAAGAAGCAGAATCACTATCTGATACACTTGAAACATAATATAGCCATCATAAGATTGTATACTAACTACTAGAGGCCTGATGCACGAAATTCGTGCAAGAGTAGGCCTTTCTTCCCCCGGCTGCCGGCACCAGCTTCCCTCTGGCACCTGGGACCTGGGCTTCCCTCGCAGTCCTGGCTTCATCCAGAAGGATGTCCAGTCTAATTAGCATATTATGCTTTTATTATTATAGAGACTTTAAGAAATAAATTTTAAAAAGAAAAAGAAATTCAGAAAGTGATGAAGTTTTAGGGAAGCCAAGTGAGAACAAGAAAGATCACACACAAACTCACATTATTATTGTGGCCATGAGTAGAGTTTTCTTAGTGATTAAATGACTCCTATTTTCCTCCAGTAAAACATTTCTCAGTTTGCAGGATCACAGCTACATCTGTGCAGCTCTTGGTTCATTGTTACATATTGCCCCCATGTTGGAAAACAAGTCACCCGCCAGTTTAAATATTATTGACTCATTGATTGAATTCTTTTAGTAGGAGGGCATGTTGCGATGAAAGACCAGTCTTTTGTTGTTTTTAGAATACTTACTCTAGCTGTATGTGAAACTGCATTATTCTCTTGCTATCGTTTTTCAGTTTGCTATCATGAAGTACTAAATTTATGGTGGATTTTTGCAATTTGCTATAAATACATATTAAGACTTTTGGAGAAATACCCTATCATTAATCTTAAGGGGTTTTGTAAAGCATGGACTGTCATGAAAATTCAAAGAGCCATTAGCTTTTTTTCCAAACCAGAAACATATTCCATCTCCATAGGTTTATGTAATTCTCACATTCATGAGCACGTCTGCCATGAGTGCCACTCATCTGGATGACACTAAAAATACAGAGTGCCACCAACAGTCCTATTGTAGAATGGGCCAACTGCCCAAGAATGTTTGCTTAGAAGGGAGAATGAGGAAAACTGATTTCTTTGTTCTATATCAGTGGTTCTCAACCTTCTGGCCCTTTAAATACAGTTCCTCATGTTGTGACCCAACCATAAAATTATTTTCGTTGTACTTCATAACTGTAATGTTGCTACTGTTATGAATCATAATGTGCAGGATGGTCTTAGGCGACCCCTGTGAAAGGGTCGTTCGACCGACAAAGGGGTCGCGACCCACAGGTTGAGAACTGCTGTTCTATATCATCCTACTTAAAGGCTACTCATGAGCCTTAAATTTTAATGAATAACAGCAACAATACTGGCAGTTAACATTTAATTATTTATCACATATTAGAGGCTGTCCTAAGTACCTTCCCTATAATGTCTCCTTTCCCCCCCTCAAAACAATTCTATAAGGTAGGTTCTATTTTTAACCCCACTTGTCAGGTGACCTGGCAAGTCTAAGCTACCTCAGGAGCATGAGCTTTCCCCAAAGTCACACATTGGGCATTGCTTAGCTGGGACTGGGATGTGTGATTTTCTGACTCTGAAGCCCGGCAGCCCTGCTTTGCTGGTACCACCAGAGGTAGGAGGACTGTCTAGCTATTTAGGACTGACTTGTACACAACCTGGGAGACACGGATCAAAGGAAGAGCCATCACCACTTCAGCCAGTACTTGCCATGCCAAAGGTCAGATCAGTCTAAGCCTCAATATCACTATTTCAAGAAAACAAAGATCCTTCTTGGAAGGAAAATTACACGTAAAACCTTTTTGTGTCTTTCATAATAAAAACACATTCAGGTATGCCTTCCTGGGTTTCATGTTACCTTTTCTGCCAGCATCCAATTAAAACAATGGCTGCAAGTTTCCATTCCCCTCAGGTGGGTACCTGGCTGACAACAGGCAGAGCTCTCCTTGTGACAGGTGTGCTGACAAAGACCTCATCTGTCCTTATGAACACCTCTCACCACCCGACTGCTGGGTGGTATGCTTGCCCTTTAGAAAATCTTGGTGTATGATTATTCAGACTTGCCTAAGAAGTCAGCTCATAGACTCTTCCATAAATATATACATACAGAGAGAAATAAAAAAATGAAAAGTAGAGTTTGAAATCCCACAATTAAATACAGTACATCCTCACTTAACATTGTTGATAGGTTGTGACTTTAGACAAAATGATGTATAACAAAACCAATTTTACTGTAGGCTAACTGATATAAACAAGAGTTAAGCTCTTACAGCATCTCATTAATTTATAACAAAATGACATTGAACAAAATGATTTTATTTGAGTACCTGCTGTATGTCTGTGATCCAATATTTTAACATTACATTCCGGACTTTCCCTGAAAGTCCAGGATGGGTGATGACTGGGAGTTTTACCCCCTTCTCTCCTGGGAAGAGCTCTACACAGCTGTGTAATGGTAACATCTGTGTGTCTCTAGGAAGCATATTTAATTGATTCTAATATCCATCATGTATTGAGTACCTATTCTTTCTAAACACTTTTTAAGTTATAAAATATTTCCAGTCAGTATACATCTTAACAATAACAGGCCTTCATAATTACATGTGATTCATGTTCTCCTGAATTTTCATATTTCCACTTTATACTCTCTCTGCTTTGCTTTTAAGCCTGGGTTTTCTCTTAAGCGCCATGTCAGTCACCAGTGACTGACTGCCGGGAGCCGGTCCATGCTTGCTGTTTCAAGGGACCTGGCATATATGGCATACTGTTCTTAATATGTTTGTTCACCTTCTTGGCACTATGTGTTTTAACCAAGGTCACCTCTCTGAGAAAGGTTGTTTCCCCAGGTAGGGATTTTCCCCTGAAGTTAGGGAGGGAATAAAACCTCTTAACTAGTGCCAGGTGGGTAATTAATCACTTTAACTACGAACAATCATGCTTAAGCTACATAATCTTTACTCCCTGGAATGGAGATAAGAAACGCCCTAACCTTTGTAATAGAGATTGATAGGATTGAATCAACTGGTATAAATACAGATGTAATAAGACAGCAAGACAGAACTTAGAATACGGAACCAAGAGAGACAGAACCTAGGCACAGAACCTACACAGAACGTTCTCTAGAGACAGAAGAACTTCGCTGGAGAGAACATGGCAAAAGATCCTGGACAGAAACTGGCCTCAGAACCTAGAGACAGAACCTAGCGAGAGAATATGGCAAAAGATCCTGGACTGAACCTGACTATAGAACATGGCAAGAGAACCTGACTAGAACCTGGTGACTGAACCTGGCTGGAGAACCTGGACAGAACCTGGCTGGAGATCCTAAGCAGAACTTCGCTGGAGATCCAGACCAGAACTTGGCTGGAGATCCTGGCTGGAGATCCTGGCTAGGCTGCTGATCAACTGAACACTGCCTCCATGTCATTCCTTCTTCGCCGACTCCGTCCACACCTTTGGGGACCCCTGGACCCGCTGGGGCTGGACCCCGGCAACTGACACTATATTTTCTGTTTGGACCTTGTCAGTCTCCGGCCGCCAGCCTATCGATGAAATCAGATATCACGGGCTAAACGGAAAGGAAGACAAAACAGGCTTGGCACTTAACGTGTTAATGTGTGTTGATGTTCCTTAAACAAAACAAAACAAATGAGTGCAAAAGCCCAACAATGCCCTATCTTCTCATCAGCGTTGCTGATGGACACATTTTTAGAGAGATACTGTTCTCTTTTCTCTCACCACTCAAGATGATATCAGTCCTGTAAGACTTCTCCCCAAAGTGACAGAGAAGAATGAAGGTACACAACTCAAACACCTGGGAGTAATCTGACACAGCCTGCCACGCGCATCAAAATTCCAGCACTGTAGCATGTCGTTTAGTCTTTAAACTCAAAAGCATTTGCATTGTAGTCTATAATATAACCATATTTGTTTTCCTATAAATATTAAGAGGGTTTTTTCTGAATATGCCCCACACTCATGTCCATGTTTGCACAGCCCTCAGAACACTGCTGTAACTCTGGTTCTATACTCCAAAGACCATGGACTGTATATCACATTAAGGGGCATCAACATGTAGCTGATTGCATAACTTGGGATCACTAACACTATTACCATTTAATTGTCTCTGACAGAGGCAAAGCAACTTTTCTCTAAGTGAATCCTTTTTTCCAAACGCCTTTCTATAATATAAAATGATGGTGAATTACTGCAAGAAAATTTTTCAAAGACCAAGTTGAACACTTTTTTTGTGAAAAAGGTCTCAGGTTTGGAAAGATGGATATTAAAGTACTAAGATATATAGAATCATATTTCTCATCCAGAAGTTAATTTTACTTTTATGTCTTTCCTGACTCTAGAGTATAAATCTTTTCTGAGAACAGAACATTCCTCTTTTCTTTTTCCTTTTGTTTCTTTTCCTTTCCATTTCTTATTTATGTTGTCTAACAGAGATGAACATTAAGGCTCTACTTGACTGCCAGGTGCCTCCAGTGTGCATTTATTTTTAATTTCATGCTTCAGATATACAAAGTGGATTAGTGTCTCCTTTGTTTCTTCTATAGACTTAAACCAATCTAGTTAGCGTTTCCTTAAAGGAAGAGGTTCCTGTAGCAATAAAGGAGCAGTGAAATACGGGACAGATGTTCAGAGGTCTAGGTTTGCCTGGTTCTCGTATCTGTTAATGTATGTACCTGCTTTCCTCACCTATCAGATAAGACTACTAATAACACACACACAGTTTCCTTGCAACTAATGCAGTTTGAGTTAATTTTAAAGTATTGAGCTGGTTATGGTCAGATTCTAGAGCTCCTGATTCCACTCCCGGATTGAATCGCATGACTAAGATACCTCAGGCAATGACACTTCAAATTCAGCAGGATGGTCTCCCAGAGAAAATAAAATGAACCCCTTCCTGAGGATCATGTTCCCATGTTGAAAGCTTGCACACATAAAGCCCGCACCTTCCTCCAACCACAAGGCAGGCACAAATGCTGCCCACGAGGTCCTCACCTGGGTCGGGCGGCATACAGGTACAGGAAAAGAGAGTATTGTAGCCCACTTTGAAGTCAGAGTTGATGGGGTAGTAATCGGCTAGCTTGATCATCTTCTTGAAAGCATCGTAGATAAAGATGAAGCTAATCAGAGAAGAGAAGCCCTCTTCAGTGAAGCGAGTAAAGTACTGAACCAGGAAGCTGGCATCAGTGGCTACCAAAATGAAGCACAGGAAGGCTGACCACAGGCCAATCCAAAGGCGCAACTCCAAGTAGTCAAAATCATGGTCCCTGAAAAGGAGAAACAAAGGTTAGACTCCGCCTCCAATGGCCACAAAGAATAATATGCAACTACCGAATGTCTGCAGTACGACTGCTAACATCGCAAGATCGCATTGAGCCACTAGAGAAAAGCTCATTCTTGTTTTCCAGAAAACATCAAGTTTAAGGATTTGGTCTAGTGATATTATTATGCCACCATAAAGAAATAATTCCTTGCTTGGCCGGCATGGCTCAGTGGTTGAGCACTGACCTATAAACCAGGAGGTCATGGTTAGATTTCTGGTCAGGGCACATGCCTGGGTCTTGGGCTCGATCCCCAGTAGGGGGCGTGTGTGAAGCAGCCAATGGATGTTTCTCTCTCAAAGATGTTTCCATCTCTCTTTCCATAACGTGGGTGGGCCTTGTCCAATCATCTATTTCTGTATTATTGGGATACAATGTACAAAAATAATGCAAAAGAGACAGCAGAAATTGGGAAACAGTTGTGAGCTCTTTCCTTCATCCTGTTCCTAATTTTAAAAGGTGACAGCACACATCGTTCACATTTTTTTTATGATTCTCCAGTTTTCAGGGCAAGCATTAAAACCTGTATCCCATGTCAGAGAAAATCTGTGGATTATGTAGAGTTACTGTTTGAGCCTACTGAACCTACAAAACAAGAATTTAACAATTTCTCAAAAAATTATAAAATATGTTGGGGAAAGTCTGGGAGAGACAGAGTAGAACAGTTTCTTTACTGAAGGATTTCTCAGATCCCTTAGTAAGCTAAAGTATAAAGTGAACTGCCAACAGGGAGATATAATATACAGCATTTCCCAGACTTATTAGGATCACAGAAGCCTTTTTTCATAGAGTATCCATGGGACTACTAATTGATGAAACACACTGTGGGAATTATCCATCTACACAAAATACTCTGCATCTAGACAAAATATTAGCACTGTCATTATAATATTTAAGTAAATGATACAGCACTGTAAATAAAATAAGGTTTTCTACAACAAGAAACATTTGAGAAACCCCGCTTTAACTCCATCACTGACTTACAAGGTTTCTTGCTGCTTTACAACTGTTTTCAAATAAATTACTTGGAACTATGTTTATGTTACCAATTATGACGAAACAGAAGGGAAAGTGAGAAAGAAACTTACTTAGTGAAAGGAAATAATCTCTCTCCTTCAATTATCTAAAGTAAACTGGGATGCAAACATTTTCTGTAGATTAAGGCTCTGATCACATTGCATCCAATAAATCTTCCTGCAAAGGTTGTGCATGTTTGTTCCTGTTTATAGTACATGCTTGTTTAATCTTTCCACAAAAGCTCTCTTGTCTCACACAATGTTTTCTTAAACATATAAAAACTGTTTGACTCTTTCTATAAACTGACATGAACAGAATTCTTTCCAATGTCTTTCTGAGAATTATAATAGAGGAGGGATGTGTAATAATGAGCTAGAGAAAACTCACAACATTATTTAAAATGTAGAACTTCAAATTCTCAGAAGACCCTTGCTGATATTCTCAACCCAGTTTTCAAACCGCTAGTTTTAAGTCCTCATCCTCTCTTCTATCTTGTGATAATTTCTGATGGGACACCATTTCGATATTATGTGAGTTGTTAAGTCCATGAGGTATAATACAAGTAATGACATTTCTAACATTAAAATACTAAAAATGTATAGTAATATAATATGGAAATTCCAACAAGGAGTACTAGCAAGTTTTATGAAATTCTTCAATCTGTTTCAGGGTTGAGATCTGCCAGTAAAGGCAATTCTCTCTTAAAGGTATTAAGTTCATTAGAAAGAGGCTGGAATACCCAATTTTATTTCAAACCCATTTGTGTGCTAATGTGGCCACTTGGATAATTTGCTTAACTTGACTTTCTCCTTCTTACAATGATCCATCAATTTCTAAAAGAAAATATTAATATCATAATTATCATGCCCATTAGTATGTCTAGTGATTCTGTAAGAGCTGGATGCTATGGAGTTAGAAAGCAGGGACTCATATCCCAGCCCTGCCAACGACTGGTGATGTAACCATCAGCAATCCACTTACCCACTCCACGCCAGCTTTCTCATCGATCAAGCAGAACACGGCCCTACCTCACAGGACTGCTACAAGAATTAAATGAGGGAGTATATGTAATGCACATAAGATAATGCTTGGGACATGGTCAGCACTCAACAAATATTAGTTATTACTCAACTGAGTGCTACAATATCTGTAGCTAAAAACACTGTAGTGGAGGTTAGGAGCAGAGGACCACTGGAGCAGCCAGTCTCTTTCATGAATGAGCCATGTGACCTTGAACAAGACACTTCCTATATCTGGTGTGTCAGTCAGGGTCACGGCAAGAACTAGAAGTCATTTTCAAAATGGGTTTTTGAGAACAACTTAACAAATGGGCTATTTACAGGGACCAGCAACATCAGGAAGCCATTCCTACCTCCTGGTTTGAAAAGGCCAAGGGAGGAATAGACCCTACTCAGGGCTACAGACAGGTGTAGGAGCCGCCCTACAGGGGCTGCACTCAAGGGACCAGCCACTGCCAGGCAAGGGTGCTAAGCTGAGACAGGGAGGTGGGGGAGGCAGACACATATCCTGACCTCTCTTCATTCCTGTCCTGGGGGTGCTCCCCACTCCACCAAACCCATCGGGAAGTCAGAGGGCAAAGGAGCTCAAGCAGGAAGGTAAGGGGCAATGATGGGGGAGGCATGGGCCTCATGGAATCAGATGTAAAATGACTATTGGACTAACCTCTCAGGGCCATTCACCCTCCATGGCTTACAACTCCCATATTCTGGTCTTCTGAACCACTATCCTATGCTCCATCTAGACTACGGATGTTCTACAGTGACACAGTCCTAATTTACAATTAGATGCGTCTGTACATACTTGCTGAAATTAAATAGAAGCCTCTCAAAAACCAGAACAGGCCCCGTGCTGCTCAGAATAGTGAGGGGCTGACCAGCGAAGAGACAGAAGATGGCTCCAGAGACAGCTGTGCCCAGGAAGCTCTCCAACACACCCTAGTAGGAAGAAAACACAGGTGTTAAAATGCAAGGCGTTTCCCTTCTTGTGTTGGTGTCACTAGGGAAGTTAGGCCACCTGATATGCTATTACGAGGGCCATGCAAACATAGCAAACAGATACGAACAATAGAGTCTTACCAATACAAGTATCATTTATTTTACCATGCGTGCGATTTAGTCATTCCTCCCTACCCCAATGGCTGAATTGCTCAAAGAACAAAGTGACTAAAATGACAGGTGGTTGACTACAGAAGGCGGAAGATGACTCCGACCCATTCGGAAAATAATACCTGAAGCTTTTGCACATAAAATCACATTATACAATCCCGCCAAGTGGGGAGAAGTGATGTAGCCCTTTGGACGGTGTTTTAGTCTTTGTGGTGACCTTCAGTGCTGTTTTAGCCTGATTTCACCTTGCACATAGCTGGTTCTTATAAGCAGTGACATTTTATGCACAAACGCTATGTTTTTTTAGAGGAAAGCTTTTAAGTGCAGAGGGGAGCAAAGGGGACACACAAAGTAGATTGCCCTCCAACCTGCAGTCTCTAAGACATCAATTCCAAAAATATTCTTATTACATATTCATTGTCCAATGCCAACTTAGACAGGAGCTTCCGTTTACTTTATCTTAGAGGAAGTGAATCTGCAGAGGCATCATAGCTAAACCTTTGCGGCCACATCTCCCTGGAGTTACATCTCTGGAAATCAACCCATTATTTTCCTTTAACAAAACAAGAGCAAAGATAAATGAGCTACAAAGCATCACTGACTTACAAAATTATGCTACCTTAATCGCATCATTTGGGACCAATGCCTCAGATGGTGGCAAACTGGCCTGTTTCCTATATTTTTCATCATTTCAAACTTCAGTTAGAGAAGCCCACATTTATTTGTAAAAAGGTCCATTTGTAAATGTAAGACAGTACTCTATCAAGAGAGGATTTTTAAATATAAAAATATGACAGAGACCCTTTATCTAAGATGGTAAATCTGAACCACAAAAACTGTAAGATAAAATAGTTTTTAAATGAGTCAAGATATTCTACAGCTTTAAAAGACATACATATGCCGAAACCGGTTTGGCTCAGTGGATAGAGCGTCGGTCTGCGGACTGAAAGGTCCCAGGTTCGATTCTGGTCAAGGGCATGTACCTGGGTTGCGGGCACATCCCCAATAGGAGATGTGCAGGAGGCAGCTAATTGATGTTTCTTTCTCATCAATGTTTCTGACTCTCTCTCTCTCCCTTCCTCTCTGTAAAAAATCAATAAAATATATTTTTAAAAAAATAAAAGAAAATAAAAGACATACATATATTTAGTGGTAAATAAATTTATATAGTAGGGAGAATTAGGGGATCCCTGTAACTTTATGTGTATATTAAGAAAATGGTACTAGAAAGATTTCCCTCTTCAACTGAACAATAATTATTTGTTTGTAGAAGCATAACTTATCTACACTAATAAAATAGAAACATGCAAATTGGTCATCACTTTGCTACACCCACCAGCCAATCAGGATGAGTATGCAAATTAACCCAACAAAGATGGAGGGTTATTTTGCATATGCAGGCACGGAGTGAAGACTGAAGGCTCCGGCCCAAGTGAAGACTGAAGACTGAAGACAACCGAAGACTGAAGAGGCTTGGCTTCTCCGCTGCAGCTGGAGCAAAGAAGCCTCGAGGCTTGCCTTCTCCAAGGCCTATTGCACGAATCTCTTTGTGCAATGGGCCTCTAGTGTTTACATAAATCTAAGCATCCCTCTGAGTGGAGCAGACTGGCTCTCTGGGAATCTGAGATGTTCCCAGTCTTCCCCCCAACCCCCCAGTTAACGTATCCACCTATCAGCCTCCCTAAGTCACCTCGTTCCACTGCCCCCCAAATTCTCCTGCAACTTTTCATTCACTTTCATATAATATACATAAAATGACTGCAAATAAATTGGTGTGTTTTTTAATCAACTAATAAAATTGAAATACACTAAGTGCTATCTTCATTCAAAAGCCATCCTAGAAGACCCTTATTATAATGATTACTGAGCACATTTTTTGTACAGCTTCAGAGCCAGCAATATTCTCCTTAAAATGACAACCTTCTCTTCTATAGATAGAGTTTAATTCAGAAAACAGACACAAATCCTTTAGCGTAGCACCATGTCACAATGGAGCTGAGGTGGGGATGGGGATGACAATAAGACTGGCTTCTCACACCAAGAGTATACACATCCTGAAATAATTCAGAACCATTTCTTCTTCTATCTAAGAAGTCTGGCAGAAAGAGACCCTGTTTCCAAGGATGTAAAATCTACTGCATGGTTGAAAGGTGCCATCTTATTTTATAGCCAATCCATATGTAATCAGAGTGTCCACTCCTTTCTTACTCACAGGGACAGGGAGCAGAATAACAAGCAAGGTAGCAGAACCAGGCAGCATTTATGCAGAGACTAATTTATGCCCAACCAATTAGTATCAGTCTTCATCTCTTACATGTGAAGATACTGAGTTTCAGGAGGTTAAATGAATGAACAAATCCACATTTGGTACAACAATGAGGCACAACAAGTCTTTCAAACCACTACGTCACCCTTAGCAAGGAGAAAAGATGTGTCTGTGTCTCGGATTTTCTTGGACATACAGTTTTTCTACTCCTTGTGCATTGACATTGGGTTATCATCTATCTTTCTTTTTCATGACTTACTTCAATGTGTGTTACATGAAAGGGTAGGACTGGAATGCTCCATGTGGTGGGACAAGCTGCACTGAGTACATGTGATAGGCAAAGTTTTTTGGCCTGCATCATTCTTTATCAAGCATGGGGTGCCTATTTTTCATCACTACTGCAGGGTCAAAATACAGCAAGGCCTGGGTGCAAAAGAGAACATGAAGGAAGAAAGGAGGAACATGAGATTAAGAATCTCTACTTGGTCTGACATCACCATTAGTAATTGTGAGGGTAGGAACAGGGCCTCCTAGGGTCCTCATATTTGTCTTCCTCCCATCATGCTATACACTATACCTCACGAGCTCTGCAGGCATCTGGGAAGCGCTACAGGAATCCAAGAAGAAATGCCCAAATCACACCCTACGTTCCACTTATCAAAGGTCAACAGCCATGGCTGCACATTCAGTAAAGATAACAGCAACTTTCTTCCAGAAAATGGCTTTGATTTATGGATGCCCTGTGACAACTAAAAGGCAGATTATTTTTATTTCAGTACTTGATCCTTTGGTAAGTGCTAAAGTTTCCATTCTGTGGCTGACAATTTTGAAACAGAGAAAGGTGATTAATTATATACACTGCACTGGAAAGAAACTTGCTTGAACTTAGAGATGCTTCCAGCATTTCTCAGAAAAGAACTATTTTCACCATATTTTGACATGTTACTCTTGACAATACAGAAATTTAAAAAAAAAAAATACCTCATGCATTGAATAACTTTAGTTTAATTGTACCTAGAATTTAAAGCCATTTATAAAGTGAACTATCAGAAATCCCTTTTCTGATTTACTATATTCAGTGTTCACTGATATAAAAAAGGAAAATAATGGGTGGATGTGCATATTTTTAGTAGCTATATCTCAGAAAGATACTTCTATACCTTATTTCCCAAAGATGAGCAAACTCCATAGCAACTCATGAGAATGCAGATGGCTGAGCTCTGATGTGTAGCAGAATCAAGAGCCAAAAAGTCCTCCAACTCCATTTTGGTTAGGTTTTATCATATGTCATTTCTGATCAAGTGTTGCCCACTGCAGAACAGTAGAAGGAACACACAACTGGCGGGCAGCAAATCTAGAGTCAAGACTTCATTCTGCCACCAAAGAGCTGATGATCTTGGGAATGTCACTTAACCTTTGTCAAATTTAGTTTTTTCATGTTGCAGATAAACATCGAGCTGATATAGTATAACCATGGACTCAGGCTTCAGACAATCTCAAGTTTACCTGTAGACTGTACCATGAAGTAACTAGCTCAGTGACTTTAAGCTAGTGACTTAATCTCCTTATGGCTTAATATATGTAGTAGGTTAGATAATGTATATAAAGTGCTTAGCATAGCCTCTGGCAGGTAATAACTTTTGATGAATAGTAACATAGACATACTGTATTTATTTAGATATAAGGTGAAGTTGGGCTAGATGATGTCCAAGGTCACTTCCAGGTGGCTCAGCACAAACAGCATGTCTTGGATTCAGGAATATCTCGGGTTTAAATATCTGCTCCACTAGTCACCAGACTCTCTAACTCCTAATTCTCTCTTCTGGAACATTGATGGCTATTTACAGGATAATCATTTGTACTAAATAAGAGAATCCTATATAATAAAAGGATAATATGCAAATTGACCCTAAAGGCAGAACGATCAGAACGACTGCTGGACCAGTCACTATGAGGCGCACTGACCACCTCTCGGTTCCTTTCCCTGGCTGGCAGGCTCTGATCGTCTGATGACAAATGAGAAACCGGGGGTGGGTGGTAGGGGATGCAGGTGGTGCCATGCCAAGGCCCCCGCCCCACCGGTCGCCCCACACACAGAGGGCAGCCCATGGTGGGGCGGGGCTGGTGAGCGGACAGTAATAGCCGACCTCTCAGTCCCTTCCCCTGGCCATCAGGCACTGATCACCCAATGGTGAAAGGGTGGCGGTGGGTTTCAGGGCCGGCAGTGGACAGCCAGGGAAGATGGCCCTGATGGCAGACCACACCTAGGGATCGTACCTGCTCACGAATTTTATGTGCTGAGCCTCTAGTAATATATAAAGAGCTAAGAATACAGTATAGATACAGCAAAATGTTAGTTCCCGTGATTATCGAGTCGTAATAACAGAAAGAGAAAAATGGCACAACTGCCCCCCAAAACAAAGAATTTTCTGTTTCTTTGACAACTTTCAACCAAGTGAAACTTGGAAAATAAAATACGTTGGTGTCAGAAAATGATAAAGCATTCGCCAACATTATTGTTACAGTCAAGCTTTAAAATCAACAACGCTAAAATGTTTCCAAG